GATCTCATTACATAGTTTTAACATTAGATAGTAGTCTCATACTGTCTCAGTGAGACTTACTGTCTACTCTTGTCACATTTTTCAAATGAGATCATGATTTTCACTTCTCAATTTAAATTATTTTTATTGCTTTAAATGACTTTAAATCTCATTTGAGTGTTATCAAAAAGCATTACTTTTTAAAAAATTAAAAATAGTCTAAAAAAAATCTTAAAATGTCTAAAAATAGTAACTTTATGTCAAGAATGAGACTAAATGAGATCAAATGAGATCACTTTCTCATTTTTTTCAAGTCATGGTTTCATTTTAAGATCTGATATATAGTCACTTTACATGTTTTTTTGATAGTCAGTCCCAGCGGGATTCACGCCAAGAAATGTATGGAATCAGATCAAATGAAACCAAATATGAAATTCATGATCCCGGCGGCCAGTCTACATCTACCTGAGAACTAAAAGTTCTCAGCGTTTTTCCTATATCTATAAAGTTAACTATTATACATTCACCAATTTCAGATATGTAAAATCAGAAAATTCCAGCCCTGAATACAAAAACTGTTTACAAATTGCAGTATTTTAACATCTTCTGATACTTTGAAATCATTTGACATGACAAAAGAAAAGAGAACACAGTCTTAAAGATAGACACATTAAATAGATAGGTAGAAAAGAATAGAAAGAAAAAAGTAAAGTAAAATAATGAGAGACTGTAATGAAACAAATTATTGAAAGAGAGTATATAGCTGTTTTAACAGACTATATCTGATCAATTTCCTCCTCTTCATATTCAGATATTTCTGAATTCAGCTATTTTCTTGTAGCTGCTTGAGTTTCTGATAGAAAGTCTATTAAGTATTTAATTCCTGTCTCAGTTGAGAATAAGAATCTCATATTTAATTGATTTAGATCATACTTCTCTTTCAATCTGACTCTGAGACTATTGTATAATGCACAGTGTATTACAATATGCTCAGGATTCTCATTTGCATGGCAGAATGAGCATTCTATTGAATCAAATCTATCATCAAATCTTTGTATATAAGATTTGAAATAGTCATGTTCTAATTTCAGCTGTATTATAGATGAGAATATTTTCTTTTTACATTTAATTAAACAAGATTTCCACTTGGGTTTTGTTTCAAATCTTGAATAATGTATACTCTTCTTTTATTTCTGTCAGCTTTCATTTCACTTATCTAAACAAGATTCTTTTATTTTTCTCCTTATAAAAGATCAGAACACAATTTTTTGAACAGATCTGCTTAATTCTGAACTGTTTTTTACAGCTGAATCAGTCAATTCATTATCATGAATATTCATATAAGCAGAAACTCAATGTAGATGAATTATCAGCTTTGATGTTCTTCTCTTTTGAATTTTTAAAATGAAGTTTAAGATCAGTTCAAGATTCATTTGATCATTATAAATCTGAGTATTTCTAAGTCTTTTTAAAGCAGCTTGACTATCAGAGAATATTCATACCTCTTTCAAACTATTTTCTCTTTTATGAGATTTTATTTCAATAAGTTTGAAAGCTTTCACTATTGCAAATAGTTCAGCATCAAAGACTTCAGATTCACAGTCTAAATTTCAGAAATCTGAGATAAAATTAATATTATCTTCAGTATAAGCAATGTCTGTATCTAATCTATTCAAATTCTCATTTTTTAAGTCATCTGAATAAATCAGAATAGAGTCTTTTATATTGATTGTAGAAATTCTCTTCAAATACTGTTCATATTCTTTCTCTTTAGATAGTTCACTTATTTATAAGTCTATAAGAGATTCAAGCTTTTCTCTTCAGAGAGATAACTTCTCATGATCAAGTTTTTCAATATTTAAAGAAGAAAATTGATTTTTAATGAGTGAGTATAGTCTGTACAGTTGAGAAGACATTTTCTTTGAAGAATTATTTTCATTTCAATCAAGAAATCTATTTCAATTCAGTTCATTTTCAGAGTTAACTGATGAAAATGAGGAAGAGACTCTTTCTCTGATTATATAATTTGAGCTCATCTTTATAACTCTCAGAGAATAGTTTATACAGGCCTTTTCAAATCTAATAGCAGGAGTAGACTGACTGTGTGACCGTGTCTGGGACCAGGACCAGATTTTTTGATAGTCTCATTACCAATTCGACTGATCCCATTACACGGTTTTAACATTAGATAGTAGTCCCATACTGTCCCAGTGAAACTTACTGTCTACTCTTGTCACATTTTTCAAATGAGATCATGATTTTCACTGCTCAATTTAAATTATTTTTATTACTTTAAATGACTTTAAATCTCATTTAAGTGTTATCAAAAAGCATTACTTTTTAAAAAATTAAAAATAGTCTAAAAAAAACCTTAAAATGTCTAAAAATAGTAACTTTATACTAAGAATGAGACTAAATGGGACCAAATGAGACCACTTTCTCATTTTTTTCAAGTCATGGTTTCATTTGAAGATCTGATATATAGTCACTTTACATGTTTTTTTGATAGCCAGTCCCAGCGGGATTCACGCCAAGAAATGTATGAGACCAGCCCAAATGAGACCAAACGTGAAATTCATGGTCCCGGCGGCCAGTCTAAGCAGGAGGAAGAATTGAAGCTTCAATTTTCATTACTTTAATAGAAGATGATTTGAATACTCTCAGAATTCTTCTCAAAGCTCTGTTTTACAGACTTTGAAAGAGTTCAGTGAAATTTCCTTGATTATTTCATCAAACTTGAACTTCATAATCAGCTACTGAGGTAATACAGGCTATATATAACTGTCTCATAGCTCAGAAGAATAGATCTCTCACTGTATTTAATAGTCTGATAATGTTGTTCAATAGTCTTTCTGTCTGAACAGTTCTTTGTTGAATATAATATTTAAAATTCAACTTAGAGTTTAACCATACTTCTAATCATTTAACATTTAAACTGGGTTTAATCTCTCTATTTAAAAGAGTTAGAGATAGTTCTTTCTTATTAAATCTAGAAAAGAAATGAATTAACTCAGTTTTATTCATATTAAATTGAATTTGATTAATATCTACTCTCATAAGAATTTTCTTTACAGCTTTTTCAATCACTTTCAAATTCTCTTTAATAGTTTTTAAGCTGTAGACTAGATCAATATCATCTATATAACTCAGAGATTGCACTATTTTCATATTTCTATCTTTGAATAGATATGCAGTGTATATTACAAATAAAATGAGTGAGATTAAAGATTCTTACAGCACTTCTATTTTTATCTCAGTCTTGTGTTATTTTATTTCATCAAAGAAAAGTTGTATGATTCTTTTAGACATAAAACAGTTAACTCATTTTATTAGAGAAAGTGACAGTTTTAACATCTTCAAAGTCTGAATTAACTTTGACTTTGAAACATGATTAAATGCTTCTTTTATATGAATAAAAACCACAGTTAAGACCAGACCTTCATGCTTTGTTATTTGAATATTATAAATAACTGAGAGAACAGTGTCAATTGCAGAACATTGTTTTCTATCTTCTATTTCTTCACTGAATAAAAGAGAGTTATTAATAGAGCTTATAAAAGATAGTTAAGTAGTTATTATCTTTTTCAAAACCTTTTCTAGACAGTTTAATAGAGATATTACTCTATATGACTTAGAAATTGAAGTTTTTCTATTAGGTTTTATAAGAATCACTCCAGTGACTTTTCTCCAGTATTCAGAATGATATTCATTTTTCAAGAGATTGAAAAAGAGCTCAAAATATTCATTCTTTAAGTAGAAATATATATTTTGAATAATTAAGTGATTAATTGAATCAGGCTCTGTAGCAGTTTTAACAGAACTTGAGAAGATAGCTGACTCTAATTCATCTTGTATAAGATCAGGCCATTCTCAGTCATTTTCATCAATATAGTTAAGAAGTGATATATTCTCTTTCTCTGAATCTGAATCTGAATCTAATGAGTTCTGAAAGAGAATTCTCATAAAAGCTTAATATTTTTTCTCAAAAGAGTTTGCTGTATATAATTCATTCTGAAACTCATATTCTAAGACTGAAAGTTTGACTACACTTCTTGTTTTAGTATATTTAAAAGCTTTAAAAACTTTCTTTTCTTATACTTCTTCAAGAAATTTATTTCAGCAGTCTGTTTTAGCTCTTTTAATATCTGAAAAATATTCATTTCTGACAGCTTTGAACTCTTTATTAGATATTATATTATTCTTTCAATCTCTTCTAATAGTAGCTAATTCTTTTCTTTTAGATAAGATATTCTCATTTTATCAAGGTTTTGAATACTCAGAAGATTTTCTCTTTGAAATATTATCTCTAACACTTATTAGAATAATAGATGTAATGAGCTTCACTCTATTCTTAAGCATTTCATTTGAGATATCTTGATCAGAATTTCAATATAGCTCACTCTGTCTTTCAGATTTTAACAGTTTTATACTTTCTTCAACTGCTTTTCAATCAGCTTTTTCAAAGTTAAACTGATTAGAGAGAAGAGGATTTTCACTCATTTATTTTTCACTCAGTTCAATATTAAATTGAATAATCTCATAATCTGATTCTGATATCTTATTTGAATTAATAAATCAGTTTACAAGTCTTCTTTCTATTAGATTTTATGATATGAAGATTAGATCTATAATAGATTTCTGTTTTATATCTTTTCTAAAAAATGTTTGTTGATCAGACTTATTAATCAAATCTATTGAATGCTTAAAGATTTATTCAATCAGATTATCAGCTCTCACTGCTCTCTTGCATTCTGAATTTTATCAGAAATGATGTGCATTGAAATCTTCTACAATTATAGAGTTTCTTGATAAAGTTATATTCAGAAATTCTCTATCAATTATTCAGATATTGTTATTTTTCTTCAATGACTTTTTATTATAGATATTTATAAGCTGTATTATATTAAACTCATTTTCTTTATCTATAATATCACTCATCAGAATATCAGGGTCAGACATGATATTAAATCTTAGATTAAATTGATATCTTGATCTCTTTCTTTTATAGATCACTACTCTTGACTTTATCTCAGACTTTTAAGATAGAAAGCAGTAGTAGCTTGAATGAGAAATGATATAATTTTACTCAGCATCAAAATTCAGTTCCTCAAGTAGTATAAAATTAACTTTTTATTTAAATATAATTTGAAGATAAGAATAAATACAATTTAAGTTTCTATTCATATTATTTTGAATAAATGTGATTTTTGAAGACTTTTTAAACTTTTTTTATTATTTTTGTTATATATTCATACTAAAAGAGAGTAGAGATAGAGTAGAATCTAGTCACTATTATCAGATAGTAGATTATAACTATTTTGAAAAGTAGAGATCTCAACTGCTTACATTATATCTAGTTTATTATCAGAGTCATTTCTCAATTCTCTAATCTTAATAGAAGTTTGAGAATTTAAATTCTGTTTATATTTAGCTGAAGAATTGAAGTTTGAAGATTTAAATAGTTGAGAGTTTCTTCTCTTTAAGCTTACAGTTATAAGTTTACTGACTTGACTCTTCTCTTCAGTTCTAGATTGACTTTGAGCTTTATCTTTTCTTCAGTTCTTTTGAGTTCTAGAAGTAAATATACATTCTTTTGAGCTAGATATATATTTTTCTTTGCAATTAGAGCACTTAAGCAGAGTGTATTGATATATTTCATCTCTTTTTGAGCATGTTTTATATTTATACTCACTAGTTTTATAATCTCTGACACAGAATACATATTTTGAGTCTCTAAAACATGAGATTGCAAAGTATTCATATCTTTGACAGTTTGAACACTGTGTTTGAGCTTTGAGATTCATTCTTAAGTCTTTGTATTCATGAACTCTCATTTTTAAACCTGCTACTCTTACTTGAGAGATCTTTGACTATTCAAGTGTTTTTATATATACTAGAATAGAGATATTTCTTCTGCTTTGTCTGAACTCAATTGAATTTAGTCATACAGACTTCTTTCTCAGTTGAATAGAGTTATATTCTTTTGATTCATTTTTAAGAAGTAGCATTTCTTCTTCACAGTCAAAAATTTCAACTGAAATATTATAAAGAATGAATTTATCTCACTTTTCATCTCTTTCAGATAGAATTATTGTATTTAATAAAGATTTTACTGCTGACTTTCAGAGATTCTTATTCTGAATAAGAAAGTCAGCACTGAATTCAGACATTATAGTCAGAATGATGAAGTTTTCAAAGAATAATAACTCAATTGAAGCTATAAGTGATATTTGAACTTCAATATCAGTTATCAACTGAGAAAAGAACTGCTGATTAATTTCATTTCTGATTCTGAAAATAAGATTTGAGTTTAGCTTGTTTCTTTGCAGAATGTTCTGATTTGAGACTTTGAGAATAAGTCTTCTATTTCTGAAGATTTGAAAGTTTCTCTTTTTATATTTTCTTTTTCACTTTTCTATGAATAGAGATATGAGCAGTATTCTTCTTAGTTATCTCAGAATTTTGAGCAGATTTTGAGATAGCAGATTTAAAGCTAGTAGATTCAGCTACTTGAGCATATATTTTCTTCTGATTCAAAGAAGAAGAAGAAGTAGAAAAAAAAGAATAAGAGTAAGATAAAGAGTCAGTGATTGTACTAGAAATTTTCAATGTTTTTTGAACTGTGTTTGAGATTCTAAGTTTGAACTTAATCATCTTCTGTAGTTATCTAGTCTGAGTATGAAGAATTAACAGAACTTCTTCATTTATCTCACTCAGACACTGCTTTTCAAGAATCTTACTTACTTTTTTAAGTTTCTGTATTTCAAGAACTTATTGTTTCTCTATTTCTTCTTTCTTTCTTCTCTTCAGAATTTCAATCTCAGAAATAGCATTTGAGAAAGCATCTTTTTTCATATCAACTGAGTGTATTTTTAAACTCATTATTCTCACTCAATGAAAAGTTGATCAGACTGTTTCAATTGAGATATTTCTAAGTCTATTTTCAATTGAAAAGTTGATCAGACTGCTTCAAAAGAAGAATAAATGACTTTTATATATAAAACACCTGATTTTTTTCATATTAGTTCAGTAACTAGGTTAGATTTTTAAAGAGAATCTAATAAACTAAAATTAATTTTTAAGATAAATTAATAAAATCTTTACAATCTCTTTCTTGAGATACAGTGAGGAAGAGTATAATATCAATTAATAATAAATCAGATAATATGACAGTTTTTAAGAGAAAAACTGATAAAAAATAAATCAATTTTTTACAGAGAAATTAATTAAAACTATTCAATTTTATTCTAAATCATTCAATTCTTCTCACACAACAAGTGTGCAACTCAAATCAGTTAATAAAGAGTGTAAAAAGAAATTAAGTATTAATAAAAGCTCTTCAGTCACTGAAAAAGTAATTCTTACTTAAAAGAATATGAAATTATGATAGAAAACAGCTCTGTTTTTAATTCTTTATAAGAATATTGTATAAAACTCAGAGAAAAACATCTTACTTTTTCAAGAGAAGTAAAAAACTATTTCTAAGATTTTTTTTTTTTTTTGCATTAACTGCTGTAGAAGAATGAGATAGAAACTGCTAAGATATACACTACTGTATACTCTTTATCAAGACTTTCTCTCTTCAGAGTCTTGATATTATAGAGAATATAAGTCTGTTTCTATATAATAATATAAATATTATCAGCAGAATGTAGAGGAACTGATTATTTATATCTTAAAATAGAAGACTTTGTCAATGATTATATTAATATAGAGTTAATTCTTAAATTCAATAGAAATCTAGTATTGCTGTTCTCAATTTCTTGCAGAATCTACTAAATATTGAGATATTAAAACTAGATTTAATATATCTCACTATACAGAGATCAAAGACTCAGTCAGATCTTGAAGTATACTGATTTTATAGTTGTTAATATGCTGTTAACTCATTATCTACTGATTATGTATTGAATGCTGTTACTGAGATATCTTTTTGTATTATTCTGTCAGAAATGAGCCAGATTGAGAGAGGTAGTACAAGAGTGAGACTTGGTGTTGAAGTCTAGATACACTGATGACAGATCACAGAGATTGCACTTCAGAAGTGTTCATTGATTATATGCTTAATATTATTATAAAGATATCTTTTTGTATTTTTCTGCTGAGGATGGGCCAGATTGGGAAGGGCGGTACAAGGGTGAGACTTAGCATTGATGTTTTGAAACATCAAAGGTGGACAGGGTTTTCGCGGAGGTCACTTCTCAGATATCTCCACAATTACAGATCAGGGATCTTCCAAAATCAAGAAGATTGGTGCATATGGCTAGGTCTCTTCATCTTACAATTTGTATGGCAATTTGGCCTGGGGTTGTGATGTGGTAGGGGTGAACGGGGGATAATCCCACACGGGAGTTTCGAACAATGTCTAGTTCACGTTTGGCTGGATATCTCCACCACCACACGGGGTATGCGGTCGGCGATGGGGTCAAAATGCTCGTATGATCGAGGGCTTTTCGATGGATCTATCGGCGGGTTCTTATTCGAAAAATCGAGCGAGTTCGTGGTGGAGCGGTTTGAAGCCTGATGTGAAATCCTTGATGAACCTGCAGTAATATGAGACTAACTCAAGAAACTGTCATATATGATGTATATTTCTTAGCCGCAGCCAATTCACTATGACATTCAATTTCTCTGAGATGGGGTGTATACAGCCACCACTTACTACATGTTCTATGAACTTCAACTCTTTCATTTCAAATACACACTTTGTTGATTTGACATAGAGCTTATACTCTGCCAGAGTTGTAAGCACTTTATCAAGATGCTTTAGGTGTTCATCATATGAGTTTGAGAAGACCAGGATATTATCAAGATATATGAGGCATGAGGTTTCATTTTATTTATGAAGAATTGTATTCATCATTGTTTAAAAGATAATAAGCACATTTATTAGACTGAATGATATTATCAGGAATTTGAACTTCTCTCATTGCATATTAAATGTGATTCATGAGACTGACAGTTCACTCATGCAGATCTGTCAGTATTCTGAGAGAAGATTGATCTTCAATAGATATCAGGTATTTTCAATCATATTCAACTGTTGTTAAATTCATGATAGTGAATATTCATTCTTGATTATAAGCTTATTGAGTGCTCAGTAATTAATACACATCTGTCACTTCTCATTTATCTTTGTCATAAATAGAACTGAAAAGCCTCACATACTTAATGAGAGTTATATGAGATCATGTTCTAGAAGATCTGTGATCTGACACTTCTGTTCTTCAAGATGTGTTTGTGATAGAGAGTATGCATTCTGATTGACTGGTTTTGCATCTTCTGTGTCAATCTCATGTATGAATTCTTGTTTCAGCAGTAATTCTGATGAAAAATCTATTCAGAAGACCTTCTCATACTTCTTCAGAAGCTTCTTTATACACTTATTCTTCTGTATATTCTTTATCTTAGTTTTCTTCACTTTCAGGTCCTGTATGATATACAGAATACTTTTAAATGAGATCTTGCAAATCATTCTCTTTGCTTATTAATGTGTAAGCAGATTTAATCCTTCTATATCAGAGATGTGAAATGTTCTTCTCATATCAGTTGATAGAATTATATAAACTGTTTTCTTTCTATCAGTTAACTGTATATAACATGTACATTATTGAATCTGTGAATTGAACCTTTGAAATCAATCAAGGTTTAAGAATAAGATCATATTTCATGTTCTGCAGCTCTCACACTCAATATAGTAAGATTATTCTCTGAAGTGCAAGAAAACTCTTACTCTTGCAGATGATATCAAATATCAGTTATCAGATAATCTTATACATCAGAGATTCTTCACTCAGCAGATCTCTTTCAGTCTTTGAATTATATAATTATTAATATATTGTATAAGAGCTTCTATGTTTACTAACACTTTTACGGCATCTCTTGATGTTTTATTTAAGAACTCCTTAATATTAAACTTTTCAGGCATAAAGACATGAGATGAGTGTCTGCTTTATCATTCTCATCTGTATTCATTCAGAAGCCTGCTTTCTCTCAGTATTTACAGAATTCAGAGAATCATCTAACACAGACATCTCTTTCACTTTGAAGACTTTTCATAGAATATTAGTGAGTGTCTCTGAGCTCACTGATTCTGCTAGTTTTTTGACTCTCTTACTTCTCTTGACTGTGTACACTGTGTGTAATCTTTTATATCATGATTTTAGCATCTGCAGTTAAAGCAAGCTCAATACTCATAATATTAAGATTTTCACTCAGAGAATTTCTTTTTCAGGGAATTCAGTGCTTTAGTAATAGTATTCAGATCTAGATTCATTGCATCTGAGTATATAACTTATATTATAGAAGTCTGATTACTTGTTCTCTGCTGAGACATACTCAATTACAGTATTTTCTATTATAATTGACTCACTTATTTCTGTATAATAAGAATATTATATACTTTCTTCACTGTGTCTGACTGTGAGATTAAGCATTTTCATTTCACTCTCAACTCAGATGTAAGACTATGACTGAAGATCTGTAAATAGAAAGATATTAAAAGTTCTTCATTTAATATGAGATAGTATAAACTGAAGTGTGTGAAGTATGATGTAAGATCACTTACTTATCTACACTTAGTAAAGTGTTTGTAATACTTGTCTTATATATTCACTTTCTCAAAGTGATACAAGATTCATTTGAAAAACTCATTTTATGTTTATAAGAATGAATATTATTCTGAGTCTGTGAGATTCATCTTTTCATCAGTTATTTATAATAACTTTACTTTTTCATATAGAAATACAGCAGATCTTAAGACTTGTTGAAATTCTGTTAACTATCTGTCTGTAAGTTCACATTCAATTCAATAATATAATTATTTCTGACTTAGTCAGCTGATTGCAGCATTATTTTTTCAGTCATTATT